GTAAATGAAGCGTGAACTGAAAAGCTAGGAATCACCGGATAGCTGTTTCGACCAGGTTGGGTCTCATCAGTAGATGTTTTGTGCTATACAGTGTAAATGGAAGATGAGAAGTGGTCTGGTCAGAGCTACCCGGTGGCCGAGTGTGTAGCATGCTTGCGCTCTGCCTGTGAGTTCCCTGGTTCGATCTCCAGTTGGGTCGATGGATTCGAATCGCACGGATGAGACCTAACCAGGTCGAAATAGCTGTCCAGTGCTTCCTAGTTTTTCAGTTCACGCTTCATTTGCTATTGACACGACGAATTTTCCTTCATATATATATATTTAAAAGGAAAATATAATATATAATAATATTATATATATGTGTATATTGGAATAATCACAGGATTATATAGTCTACCGTCCCCGGAAATCGAGTCAGGAACAAGCCTGTGTAAAACAAGCATGGTTAAGGATTGCCCCGTATCACCGGTTTGTTCCACTGTCATCACGTTTACCAAATAAATTGAGACTGACCAGTCTGCTTTATATCTTACAAAACGATCGAAAGCGCAGTTTAAGTAAGTGGAAAATAAAATGTGTGAATCAATAAAAGTTCCATATATATGTATATGTATATAATTATATACATTCAGGCACAGGCTACTTGCAATACCGCACAAGTTGAATTTGTACGGTGCTAAGCATACAACAAACCGTCGCTAAGTGGTTCAACGCAAGTTAGACTGCCAGGTGGTGTCATCGGCGTAGTCAGGATCAATATCTCTGTTCACTGGGAATAGTTTGAGTCTACCGTTTGCCCGGACCAAAAAGGCATTTTGCAGAACGTCCTCTACGGTCATGTGGCCTTGTCACATTCTATTAAAGACCACTGCAAAGAGTTGAACAAGCCGGTTTTATACCTCAACTCAATCTGAGGCATGACGATACAAATCAAATGTTTCATTTATCAATAAATTTCTATGATACAGTCCCATCGATGGATACAAAAGCTGCCCATATGACGAAGATCTCAATGATCGTTGGTTTTTGCAAAGCATGACGGTGCTCTAAATGCTGTGGAAGAGTGCGAATTTCATCAATGACTTCACGTCTTTTATACAACACTTGTGAAGATGACAGATTTCAAAAATTCTGAAGCTGTATGAATCACGTTCATATTCCTGCGGTTGGTACAGTCACTTTGCGGGCTTTTAGTAATGGATGCAAAGAGAAATTTCCCCCAGCAATGTACCACTTGCTCAGAAATTCAAATCGTGGTGAAAAAACAAGCGTACACTACGAGAGTATCCGTATACGCCAGGGGATTTATGGCCCCTATGGAATTGGATTTGCCTGCCGATTTCCGTGTTAGAAAGCGGGTCTGTCAAAACACCTAAATGAGACTTGCGGGAATAGCCAAAGTGATCATTTTGTTATGGTATTTAATTGCGGGTCAGGCTTTGGCTAACCGAAGGCTTTGGTTGTGGATTCCTCAACCTGGCAACCTGGCAATATTCCGCCCACAAGTCAATCATGGAACGCATTTTTCTTTTATAAAAATAATTGTACTATGATTTGCTTGATACAGTCAGGCATCAAACGTGTGTGAATATATATATATATATATATATATATATATATATTATTGCAAGAGAAAGCACCGTGAAGTTATCAACGACGATAAACGCAGAACACAATTCTACGAAAACAAATGTAATCATTTTCAAAACCGAAGCATCAGGATTACTCAATTGTGATTGGATGAAACCGGTTGAGAAACCAATCCAAACAACGTCAAATACTCGCCAATCCAAAGCAAGGGAAAGACTCAATAAGAAATTTCTGTCACTGAATCCGACAAGACATGAAAAAGCCAAATTAATCTACAATCTATCAACGTATCAACTTGCACCAGGGGAAACATCAGTTTTGCTGAAAGGACTGAAATGTAACTGCGCGAACGCAAAGCCAACGGATTTCATCGCCTCAGTTGAGGCCGGAATTCGACAGTGACCATTGACTGAAGAAAAATGACAACAGCTCAGGACGAAAGTGTGTCAGCAATTCACACGTCCGAGAGATATATATCACCTACCACCGGCTGCGATCAAAGCAATAAAAGCACTACGCAAAAATCAAGACATCGTCATTCTACCCATGGATAAGGGTAATGCGATTGCGATACTGGACAAAACGGAGTACAAAGAAAAAACTGGGTAGACTTATCGGTGATTCGGAGACGTATCAACCAGTCATAGGAAACCCTGTGACAAATCTACTTAACAGGTTGACTAAAAAGCTCACAGAACTAAAGAAAAACAATAAACTCAGGGGAAAAAACAATACAAAGATATCAAACCTACGGAGGGTCCAATCCCGCGGATCTACGGACTACCAAAGGTGCATAAAATCGGAGGACCACTACGTCCAATCGTTTCTTCAACAACGGCTCCCAACTACCAGCTGGCCCAATATCTCCTTCATTCATTACGCTCATCCATTCCAGAAGACAACGGCATAAAAAACTCGGTCACATTCCTAGATCGAATAATAGTATTACAACTGAAACCGAAAGAAAAAATGGTGTCCTTCGATGTCACATCTCTGTTTACAAACATATCAACACAATTAGCTCTGGAGAGCATACGGAATCTGATATCAGATGATCCTCGGCTTCCATAAAGAACATCACTATTAGTGACTGGCATCATGGAGCTGTTCGAACTCTGCATGGAAACAAACCTACGGTTTAACGGGAGGATATATCGACAGGTGAAAGGAACTCCAATGGGATCACCAATATCTGGCCTACTAGCTGATACGGTGATGAAACAATTCGAAAACAAGGCATTTGCAGAATACCACCCTCGCCTCTGGGTTCGATATGTGGACGACACCTTTGTGGTGCTACCGGCAGAAAGAACCGAACAATTCCCTAAACAAGGTTATGCCAGGGATAACGTTTACCCGTGAGGAGGAAAACGACATGAAGCTCCCTTTCTTAGACGTCCTTGTTATAAGAAAACCAGACGAAAACACAGAAACCACTGTGTACAGAATACCCACGACAGACCAGGTGCTGAACCACGACACGTGTCACCTTAGGAGCTGTGTATACACTTTATTCCGCCGGGCAGACACATACTGCAGCACAAAGGAACTTCGGTATCAGGAACGAATGCATCTGTTCCATCATTTCCACACCAATGGATACGCCAAAAGTTTCATCCAATCATGCCCTAGGGGAAGAAGAAAACCGAAGGATGAAGAGAAGAAAACAAAACTCTTATTACCATATCAGAATCCGTTGATCTCATCCTTCGCCCTCTGGGTGTCACCATCGCCCACAAACCTACAACAACGCTGCAATCAATCTTGTTCAACTGCAAGGACTATGTAAAACAACACGACCAATCAGAGGTGGTGTACGCGATTCCGTGCCTAGACTGTGACCAACGGTACGTGGGAGAGACAGGCAAACAACTGTGAACTCGCCTACACAACCACACACTTGCACTACGACGCGCCGACCCGAAGTCACACCTCTGGAAC